GGTGCAGCCCTTTGCCTGACTGCTGCCAGGCACCCGAGGGGGCAGGCACAGGGACACCAGCTTGTGCTGGCCCTGCTGGGAAATGGGTGCAAAAAGCAATGGCCAGGCAGTGGGGCTGGGTTCAGGAGAAAGACGTTCTCCTGGAATGTCCTCGGCTGACACTCCCGTAAGGAGAGTATAATAAAGCAGTAATTGCAAATGAGTCAGCGTGGTTTCTGCTTTCCTTTTGGGAAAGCTTTTGCTTTTCATGTGGGAAGGAGAAAAATCAAACTCTAATTTCTGGCCTCTGCTGAGCAGACCAGGGAAACGAAAGTGAAACCAATCAGGGGCTGCTCCGTGGGTCACGGCCGGAAGGCACAAGCTCCTCCTGCCAAAGGCTCGGCAGGTCTGGGGGGTTGGCAGAGCTGCCCGGGAGCCACGGACCCGCCGGGGCCAACTGGTCCCATCGCCAGGGCCTGGGGGGGCTTCTGGGCGTTGAATCCCTGGCTGCTCCGGCAGAGGGTAAAAGCGTTTGCAGAACTGGAAGGGCACATGAGCCCTCTCTGCCCGTCCGTCTGTCCGTCCGTCTTTGCCCATCCCTCTGTTTCCCCAGCCGAGGAGGGACTGATCTGCACCCCCAGACGAGATCAGCCGGACGCGGAGGGGAGGTCTCAGGTAACCAGGGGTGCCGAAGCAGCAGGAGTGGGAAAAAGGGGGTTATGGGGGTAAAAAGGCTGGTCGTGTGTCAACAGCCTGTCTGCTCGAACCCGCCTATGTGAGAGGTGTGAGCGCTGGGGGCCCGCCCGCAGCTCGGGCTGTGTTAGCGCTAGAGACGGGGTGACACCTGTGTCCCCCCTTCTGGCTGTGGGGTGTATTTTCCTCCAGCACCCTCGAGGGCATGAGCCCTCGTGCACCCTGCACTGTGGGGGCCCCTTGATGACCTCCCCGTGTCACTGCAGCAGCGCAGAGACCGGATGGGACAAGAAACCATCGATCGTGGCTCGAGGGACTTTTCCCTCCAGGCGGGGTGGGCGGGGGTTGGTGGGTCTGAAGCAGGGGGGCTTTGCTGGGGATGTGGGAGGGGGCTGAGCAGCGGGCACCCAGCTCTGGCTCAGTGGAGACCCTCTCCCCAGCCCTCCCCATGCAGCGGT